AAATCCCACCCAATCTCCTGTTGTAAGATGTTGACCCTCTAACCAACTTAGATATTACGGAGATTTCTAATGGTCAAGAGGGCTCTTTGGGTGAAGAAAATAGTTGAAGCTAAAGTATTTAGGAGTCCACTATTTGTAGTAGTAGTAAAGAGACTAACAATGTTACTACCATATGGTCTGGGATAGTAAGTTGTAGAGAGATTCGACAGGGAGCTCTTTATTGCTTAACTAGTAGTGCCCCGTGCGATGTACGGGAAAAGCCACTATCCAATACGATGATGGAAGGGATTAAAATTGAAGCCAAAGAGTAAATTAATATTGTTTTTATTAGGAGAAATTGAAGCAAAAGGAGCCTTGTGACATTTTCAATTGGGTTGTAGTGGTCCAAGTACAATCCAAGTATTATTTTTTGGTCAGATGAGCTTTGTTAATTGTTATTAATTATTAATAAAATTAAAATTTTATTAATATTTTAAAACTTATTAAATTTTAAGATTTGAATTTATATTTATTTTTAAATTTATATTTTATTAATGCAGTTATTCTTAATCAAATTTATTTGAAATAATTAAGAGTAATTTAAATTTACACATATTATAATTAATTAGAGTTGTTATAATATTATTAAGTAAATTTTGTTAATGCAATATGTGCTAAAGTTTTGTTACTTAATTTTGAATTTTTATTAATGAATTTGTAAATTACTAATTATAATAAAATTATTTGGCACTTGAAAAGGACATGGTTTAACTCACACCCCGTTGTATAGCCTCATGAAGCTAAAAAGGGAAAAAAGAAAAAAAGAAAGAAACTCACACCCATACACCATATGGATAATTATGTATAATAAATTAAGTTACTACATTTAATTAAGTTATTAAGTAATGTTTCTTTTCTTAACAAAAAATTAGTTTTGAAAGTTTCATTCACATGAAAATGGCTATTGAGTTCAACACTTCTAGGTGTAGATACAACAAACAAAAACAAGATTTTACTTGACAAAAATCTCATCTCTTCCCTCCACCACCACCATTCTTTGGACGTTTTGAGTCTTAGCCATCAACTTAGCCTTCCTCTCATCCTTGATTTGTCTTCGTCACATAGTGCAAATATATAAAAATAGTACTATTTGGCATTCATTATCAATAAAAATAAACATAATATGAAACAAAAATAAAATTTATCATCAAAGAAATTTAATTATAACATTGAAGTCCAATAAAAACATATTTGCATGATAAAAACATGTACAATTTCAAAAAAAAAAAAAAGTTTCTATGACTTACTTGTCGATGATGGCACAAAGCTTAAGGTAGACAAAAAACTATATAATAGAAAAAAAGCAAAAAAAAACGTAAAAATATATATTTAATGGTCATTAATGTATAAATGCATGTTATGCACATTTGTTGAAAATTTTGTGTATTATTGTATATTTTATTGCAAGTATAAATTTTTTTGTCAAAATATCTATGATATTCAGCAAATTCTACATTAATTATAAACTTAGCATTTTTCAACAAATTCTATCCAAATGTTTATGATAAGTACCATTAATCTTAAGTAAATATCAGTAATTTTCATTATTTATTAATTCTAAATTATTTCTTTAAGCATTGACTAATAATTATTTTTGTAATTAACATTAATGATGAGTAAATATATAATTAATGATATTTATTTGAGTAATAATTTCAGTAATGATATCAATAAATAAATAAATTTATCTGAATAAATTAATTTTCAAAAATATGTGTATTTATAAATAATTAATTACTAAAAATATCAAAATAAATTGATATTTTAATTATTTTAATTTTTTATCAACAGTATAATTTCATTAGAAATATTAAGAATTAAAAGATAGTGAGAGGTAAACTATTTTAACTCTCTACAAACAAAAACACTATTACAGTTGAGCACAAAACAATTGGTTCCTCCCCACCCCTTGTTTTACTAAAACATCAGCAAAACCATTTGCTACCCTTTTAACCCAACTGAATTGTACTTCCATATCTTGAATCATCCACTTGAAAATCTTTTTTTCATTATTAAACATCCAGAATCCTTTATCATCCTTTTGCAGCCAATCCAAAACCAGCTTTGAATCACCTTCTACAATCAGCTTTCTGGCATTCAAATCTTTTGCCTTTTGCAGACCTTCCATAACTGCCATAACCTCGTCCTCTTTTCTTTTGGAAGTTTCCGCCCTTGTTACGATAGTGAAATGGGAGGCAGGGTGACATGGCCAGAGGCTAAGAGGCCGATGATGAGGCAAAATGAGGGACCTAGGTAGGGTGAAAGCAAACCTGTACTGAACTGGATATGTTGTATTTATTTTTCATTATTTAAAAATTAAATTTAAATTCAATTCAAATTAATAACTTTTACTTTTATTAAATGTTAATTTTTTAATAAATTGTTGTTGATGCATAATTTAAGTTATTATATTATGCTAAGTTTATTATTGTTTAAAATTTTTAATAATGCTAGAATTTTTATTATAAATTAAGTATAATATTATTGTAATTAATTTTAACAATTTTTATTGTTAAAATTAAAAAATAGTAACTTATTTTGAATTTTCTATTATGTTAATCATTTTTAAATTGAAATTAAATTTTATTAATTTATAATTATAAAATTATTATAATTAATTAATAAATTTTATAATGGAAACATGAAAAGATTATTTATAATTATAATAATATTTTTAACTAATTATTTAAATTTTATTACTTTAGTTTTATTATTTGTTTTATTATATTATTTATTTTTCTCTTATTAGTATTTTAAATATTTTTTACTCATCGTATTTCAATGTTTAAGTTTTAACTTAATTTTTTTTAGGTTTGGACTTAAATATTAATATTTTAATACATTGATGAAAAATTAAATGCATGTATAATTAGAAGGTAGAGAGAGAGAGATATAGGAGTGGAAAAGAGGTGTTAGAATTGGATTGTTCATTGTGAGATAGATTAAGAGATGTTTTAGGAGGAAATTTTAGGTGGGAGAGGTAGTTTAGGAGAAATGTTAAGAGATGAGATTATTTAGGTTATTGGGAACGTGTAAAAGAAAATGATATATATATAGATATATATATCAAGGCTTCACTCGTTTTACATTATTCAGATAAGGCATTTTTCCAGACAAGTGATTCTTGGGAAAATGTTACCGAGATAATCACAAATGCATTGTTTGACTTGACCAAGGATTATCCAGATAATGCACGAGAGACAAGGTGACTAACATTTTCGATGGATGAATAATTCCAAAAGAGGTAACCAATACTCTTCGGGAAAAAAAATTACCATGGGCCTCATTATAATAGTGGATAAACACGGGATTATTGTATTTCCATGAGACCCACCTATATATATGTGCATTTATGTATATATATATATATGTATNGTATGTATGTATGTATGTATGTATGTATGTATGTATGTATGTATGTATGTATGTATGTATGTATGTATGTATGTATGTATGTATGTATGAATGAATATGTATAATCGGACCCGGCTCAAGTAGGGACAAGATCAGGCTGGGCTCAGGATACCTAAGAGTTAGGCTCAGCCAAACCCAAAAATAAAAAGCCCAAATTCTTAGTCCTGAACCCAAAGCCTATATAAAATGTATGGTGAGATCGATTAGGGCTCAGGGGGCCCGCCCAATTTGCGCCCCTACTTGTCAAAGTCCTCCATACATTTGCAATGATCTCTTTCTGGGGTCATTAAAATCAATATGGATGCCGCTGTTACTCTTTCTAAAACAGAATATTCTTGTATCAGACTTACAAACCCTGAATGATAAATGAAATTGCCTACAGGTTATTTTCTGAAAAAGAAAATATCGAAATGAGCCAATCATTTAATAACACTTAAAAAAGATATTAATGGAGATACAATATTCTCTATCAATGTTTCAAAACTCCGACCAGAACAGATTGGATGGTCGATGGTCCAAAAATTCCTAGCCTCTGTCTAAAGTTGTGAGTTGGGTTGGTCCAGTCTCAAGTTAAGTTCGCCTAATTTGCACTCATATGGACCATCAACCACTAATAACATAGAAAAACAATTTTCTTGTCATTTGCTTTATTTTTTATTCTTTTTTCATCATAATAACTCTTATATATCACACCTATATTTGTTTAATATGATAAATACATAATATTATAGATGAACCCATTTTTTATACTTTCAATAATTATTTGTCTTTTTTAAAATTTCTGTTATTTAATTATGACATCATGGATTGTCCCATTTGACTTAAAAGGATGAACGATTGACCCATTGCTTATTTTGTATTTCATTTTCATCATTAATAAAGTTACTTCTTATTTGTCATACTTATTTTTATTTAATATAATATCTATATAATATTAGGCATATGCCTAAAAATTTTCACAGATTTTGTAATTTTTATATTTTTATTTATTTTTAAATTTTATTATTTAACTATGAGACCATTGGTTGGCCCATTTTGAAGCAAATAGATGAACTACATACTCCCACCTGAATAGGACACTTTAGCTTTCATGTTAGTCTTGAACATAGGTTTTATATTAGTAAAATTATTGAATATAAGATTTAATTATTAGGGTTTATTGGAGAGAAACGAAAACAACTGAAATAAAGGATTTAAAGAAAGACAATTAGAGTTAACACCTTAATAAAAAGGGAATTGGATGAAGTGAAAAGTAATAGTACTTCAAAAGTTTAAATTACATTTTCTGCTGTCAAAGTCGGAGATGGACCAAATTCAAAAGTTTGGGTGTTTTAATTAAAAAAAAAAGCTCTACATAGCTCATTTATTTAATATTGCTTAAATATAGGATTTAATGAGGGAATGGGAATTAATACATTAAATATAGGGCTTAATGAGAGAGAATAGGGTGAATTTAATAAAAATAGTAGTTCAAAAATACGAGTATTTTAGTTAAAACAAAAGGCCCCATGAAACCAAAAAAATATCATCATGATATGACTCTTAAATTGCCTTTCAATACTCTGTTTCTGATACATTGAATTTTGGTCTGCAGTCAAACAGTCTTTGAGCTGATTCTTAAGTCAGGGAAAACATTTGTTTTCTTCAAATTTCTTTTGGATTAAGATGGATAATCCCCAAATATGTAACAATATCAGTGACTTTTAATAGTTACAATAAATAAATTCAAAATTCCATGCTGATAAACGACTTTCATTGGTAACTCCCTGAAGTTGGTCCTCCCAATAGACTTCACCTGCATTTTAACCAAATCCTGTAAGAAAGTCAGATGGTTATAGGGGTAACTTATTGTAATTATTTACTAACAAGATTAGTAACAGTAAAATTGTGGATGAAAAACTCCACATGACTAATTGACAAATTGAACATAACTCACCCATGTATTGCATTGTGAATCTTAAAATCATAATTATACAAGAACAGAATCACAAATTTATGCTTCAGAAAGATCTACATTCTCATTCATGGGGGGTGTTGCTTCACGAGATGAATCCTGAACTTCCCCAGCATCAGATGGTTGGGATTCATGTTTTGCTGCTGCCTGTAGGACCCGATCTTGAACAGCTGATGATGAAGGTGATGTTGGCAGGCCAATGCGATTTGGTTCTAATTTGCCAGTAGCCCATGAAAATGCCTGAACACCTAGTCTAACAGGAGCGAGCAAGAGTCTGGAAGACCACAGTCAAAACAATAAAAAACAGGACTAATCAACATGTCATCATCACCAGGCAATCTTGCAAATGTGGTTATAGATGTGAAAAACAGTTATCAGATATGACTCAAACACAATCAGATCCAAGATTTTATGTTGTCCAGAGAACATCCTCAGTTTTCCCCACTTTAAATTAATGAAATTGAGAAAAATAAAACAAGCAACAAATATGACAAAAATATATCATCAACCAAAAGAAAATAACAATAAAACAGAAATGAAAAAACTATCACTCTAGTCAGTATATTAAAAACATACACGTAGAAATTCACTGCCTCCAAGAAAGTATGAAATTGTATACAACTGGGCATAGTAGAAAACCATAGAATATAAATATGGCATGATGAAACCAAAGAAGAGAGTCTAAATTTGGTTATTTTCTTGGTATGACATAGAGAGAAAATAATGATGGACATATAATACTTGGACTCAGTTGTTGTAGCAGTACAAAGCTCACACCCATTTATCCTCACCATTCAGTGCCTCGGTACCTCCCTAACCCCCAAAATATTTAGACACCATTCATAACATTCCAACCCAGATTCAAAGATGGCAATGTGTCTGTATGACTACTTAGATGAAATATTAGAATGTTATAGGTACATGTAATTCAACAACCACATGTATATTTGCTAATCTTTTTTATCTGAGATTTAATCAATTAACTAGATAGGTAAAAGTCATACCCGACGATTTCTATATATTATCAATAGAATATGACTTCCCAGAGATCTCAAAAATTTCCTATAGAATAAACGTCCCTTTCAGAGAAAAGGTTTTCAGCACCATTTCTCATATAGTAATGAACAACTTTTCTTAAACGCAGGTAAATTCTCTTCAGACATCAAGTGGCCACTTAGGTGTGTCCAGTTGGTATGATTTCTATGTAATACCCATCAAGGTACATGTACATAATTGATTAAACCATGGGCTGTTTCTATAGTAAAGATGTAGGTAGAGATAATAAACATCATAACCAATTAAGTGCTCACAATCAATAAAGAAAAAATACATAAATAAATAAATACCAGCCCACTAATAAAAATGAGACAGATTAGCATCATGATAAAAATACAAAAACTCCTAAAATCAGAATGGTAGATGGGTCAGATCCTGAATTCAATCAGATTAATTTTTTTCTGCCTTTTTGATAAGCTATATCCAAACATATAAATTGAAACAAGAAAAAAGGGGAGCAAACCATCCCAGCTAAGGATGTCATGTTCCTGAATATAAGACACCAGTACAACATTTGCATATTATGGTATTATACATCAGATGACTCCTGACGTATTACTGCCCGCTTCCCAGTGATTACAAAAGGATGAGAACATAAACCCCTGGAATTGAACAAGAATGGAGGACCAAAAGAATATAATTCTTTGTTCTTGCTAACAGCCTTTCTACTGATAATATGTAGTTTTTGTTTCTATAATTTATTAGCAGCAAAGATATATTTTGCCATTTTGATTTTGTACAATTAGCAATACTGCAAGCCCCAGAAGAAATATATATGAATTTGGTACCTTCACTAACATAAGTGAATGAATGAATATCAGGTGTGATGCAACTCCCTAAGAGTGATTCATTTATGCAGGCATGAAAGCACAGAAAGAATCCATGGAGAAATCTTTTCTCTCTCGATTTCTTACCCAGTGGAAATTTTGTAGGTTCTGGTAATTCCTAATTTTGGTCAACTCGAGTCTTTTGATAGTTATCTTATAATTTGTTAGTATCTCAGAGTAGGGTTAGTCATTGGATCAATTTAATTTATAGTCATTCTTTAGAATTTTGAAGAGTTTAAGATGGAACCATCCAACTTTTTATTTAAGCCTGTTGAGTTGGGCCTAGTTTTTTATTCTTATTTTAAGCTATTTATTTAGGAAGTTGTTGGGCTTTAGGCCCATTAGTTTATGTTTTTAAGTTGTGACTGTTCAGCTACATTAGT